ATTTAACCGTGACTAGATACCTAATAGTTTACGTTTATTCATGATACGTCTATTATTGATTCCGTCAGATGGTTTTGAGTTATCAATGTTTATGATATCAATCTTTCCACCTTGCGATCAAGGATGGTTGTCCATTTATTCATCACGATCAGCAGGTTGAATATACAAGGGTTACCCTTGCTAGAACCGTACTTTTGAGTTAAAAGGCTTATGGGTAGTAAGTAGTTACGTATGTAACAAACTGTTATTTGAGAGTAAATAATTATTATGTCATCGCATATGTAGGACTGCATAATTTTCAGAGTATGGAGAGTTTTACCTGACAGTAGCTTGAAGGTTCTCTGTATGAGCTGGGCCAGCTTACACGTTTCCGTTATCATGTCTCGGCTGAGCGAATGTGGGAACATCACATTATGAGGTTTTGTGAAGTTTGAAGCCGCTTCTCTTCCACCTGTCAAACTAGCCGGAGCAAATATCGGTCTTATAAAATAAGGGCTTGTTGCTGACTGGCATAATAAAGTTTGCATGCGTGTTATAGGAACTTAGTCGTTTAATAATTAAACACATCGTTGTTGATTAGGACATAAAGATGGTGTAGGGTACGTATGCTGGGGAAGAGTGTTTAGCGAAAACGCCAGAGACGCAATAGCAGCCATGACGGAGAATGCCTACGAATTAAGTCTACATTACCTTTTTCAGTCTCTAGCCCCTCAAAATGATCTGGACTTCGCTTATCACCGATACGTTAAGATACTCACAGCCTTTCATGACACCACACTGCTCACCATGAACTACCGGGACCGCCAAAGACTCAAGTGACTTCAATTCAGTATAAATCACGACCCTTTGTACTTCATACACTACCGTAACTTTTAGGACAGTTTGGATTGTCCTCTAAACTAGATCCCACAATGCGACCAACTGTCACCCTAAAGCAAGTTGAAGCGCGAAACCAACGAAGAAAATTTGATCTAAAGTACATGAAATAAAATCCAAAATAATTAGTAATGATAGGTACCCTCGGTCAACTGAAACACAATCAACTCAAAAAAGCTATAAAGTAGACAGAAGAAAGCTCTGGGCGTAAAAACATCAATTAAAGTTTGTTGAGATAGTGGAAATCACGCATATACTTTGATCGGTAGGTTGGAGACATACCGCACATAATTCTTACGTCTCCACCTTCCATGTTAACAATCTTATTTACATGTATTTAAATAAGTGGTTAAGTATGTGACGGCAGGCTTGTCATTTGTCGTTAATACTCTTCTGAGGTATCACTACCGTGCTTGAAAAAGCTGTGTCGGGGTAAGACAACTCATCAAAAGAGTCAAGGACTGTCAATGGAGTTTCGGTTCTGGACCGCAGAACATCCTGAGTGAGGCCTACTTTAGGGAAGCTCAAGTCATTGTTAATAATACTCTGGTATTTCCCTTTTTTCTCATCCAAAATCTGACACGTTCTCCATAGATGACTGTGTTCATTGTGTTTGGCAGGCAAGTTTTTACACAGTTATGTCTGGAATCTGGATATACCTGCCACTAAGTACTCAAGCCTAATATCCGGGGCACTATTCAGGTTTTCCATTAACGAACCTGTTTAGAATAGATCCCCTGAAATCCGTCGAGACTGTGAAACAAGGTAATACATCCTGCATACTGGATATCATGAGACAGGTAAACAGTTGTGGTGGCGTAAATCTGATTTCGTCTATACTCGTATATAGTACATGACTTTATCCGCGTTAGTGAATAACGGAGTTAAATAAGTCAAATACGAGAATGGAATTAGGATACATATATTTTCTACAGTCATTGATCTGGCCAGAGAATCAGAGTGATGAAGCGAATAAAAGCGAACGAAGCGAAAGATCATGCGCAATGGAGATTGGCTGGGAAGCCAACTCGAGAGTGAAGCGAAAGATAATGCGTACTGGAGATGGCTGGGAAGCCAACTCGATTTAAGCAAGCGTTAATCAACATTTATAGTCGGACAAAAATGAGTGACAGACATATGATAAGATACGAAGTGTACACATATATGCCCATATAAAAGTATAGTCAAGGTTTATAAGCAAATGATTAACAAGATCAAAAGATGACTCAATGTACAGGTGAATTGGCTTGGCCAGCAACTAGAATAAAGTATATGGGCTTAACATATAAACTGGTACTACACAGTATACAGGATGCTGGCACGCAGTCCTAATGATCATATCAATAGATGGAAATCTGGAAGCACTGGACAGTCATTTCGTTTTAATATGGGACTACCCAGCAGTGAGTATCCACGACCTTGCACGCAAGCCTCTAACCCAGGACCTTCGATCTCGCGAGAAACGGGATCGTGAATGCTTACTGCTGAGTGGTCCGGTACTAGAACAAAGTAGCTGTTCAGTGCTTCCAGGCTTCTAATGGTGGTCTAGCGCTGATCGGTTCATGATTTCAACAAAACTTAACAATCCGCACAACATCTACTGAAACTAATGAATTACTAGTTATGAATGAAAATAACGATCAAAACAGGTAAGCAGAAGCCAAAATGTAAAAAACATGATATGCCTAGTGAATATTCTCCCTATATAGAAGAAAAATATGATCTTAAGATTATAACCTTGCATACCATATTGTAAGCCAAGGTAAAGTCATAACAAACTACGGATCTAGAGTTCAGCGAAAGAGAAAAACGACCTACCAGACATTCAACACGCATTAGATTCGCAAATCGAGGATTCATCCTATCTGGCCTAATTAAAGCAACACGGAATTTCGCAGCCAAGGAACTACTGCAAGAAGTCTTTCTGAAGGTAGCTTTTTTAATCCTGTGTGCAGTCTGGGTGGTATGAAATGGTAGAAACAGGTTAAATTCGATCCGTAATGTGTTATATGTTTGTGAAATGTAAATAATGTGATATGTGTACGTATCTCGAACTGGCAGTCGGTTAGAGAAAGTGGAATCAAAACGCAAACACCGAACACAAATAAAATTAGGTCTAACAAAGTGAGTAGATCTGAGAGACTTAGCTAAATTGATCCATTGGTGGTATATGAGGACGGAACACCAAGATCAGATGGAGGCAGTAGACATTTCAAGTAAGAGTATGGTTGATCTCTTAAGTTACGGACTAGTCCATTGGTACTCGTTGTCAACAACCGTAATCGTCTTTTATAGACTGTATGTCCTGTGCAGCATATACTACCATGAGTTCATTTTCGTAATGCAGAACCTATATGACGCGCCACCTTTTACACTGTACAATTCATTTTTCGTCCAACAACCATCAATTTGCATAAAAACATTTTTTATACTGCTTCTACAGATAACCTGCCATCAGGGCGCGGCAACCAAAATGAGTAAACGAGTCCAACACAACGAAAACCCAACATTTGAAACAATTAGGCCTTGTCTATAAGTTAGCATGCTTCATCCACCTTACGGTCATTGAGAATGAATTACTATTATCATATATTAACGATTTCATGACAAACGTTCGCCATCTCATACATCTTGGGGAGAAAGATTGGTATTCTCCTTACAGCCTTCATCGGTCAGCAGCGGAAAGCCGTGTCCTATTTATAGGCGACAAATCGAAAACCTACTGTCATATACTGGAAAAGGGGCATTTATATCAACATTAGTTTAAGGAAGTACACATACAAAGCTCTCATTACAGCAGATGTTTTGATGCCGATGAGTCGTAGACCTATTCTGATATTAGAACTTGCACATTCATCCAAGCAAACAAAAGTTTCTACACAGAAACACTAAGCTATGAATCCGCGTTCATCTGGGGTTAAGTATATTTCCAATCCGTAATTTTAACCGCTACTCAACTAATACCCTGACCTTAGACAAGCAACGAGGGATTCCCTATGTGTGACCAACAGTAACACATATCATATCTCTATATGACAACCTATGTTCTCAAAATCACGCTGACTATCCATCGGAAACCTCGGAATGATGAGAGACAAAGATCCTCACACGCAGACTCCATAATTCTATTATCATAGCAGCAGGTACATCCGAAAAAGCAATCAGTGCACTGTACGACAGTCTCAACATCTTGTAGAAAACCACAAACTCTTGACCATTCCTCTAAAATTTAATGTAATCAGATTCAGAAAAAGTCCCTTAGGTTCATTATCAACTGATGTATATATCCAGCCCGTTCGTCTTAATCTGCTAGGACACCTAAGATTACTGCATCTACGTCCACTTTATTCCTAATTATTTGTATTCTTCGCATACCGATTTCGGACTTTCTTGTTAGTGTAAAAACATTCGTCATATTTTCTTACATAATATAATCCTATATGTTTAAAAGACAAAGGTTGGTGGACTCTTATCAAATGTTTCTTTTACTGAAAGCTGTTAAATGTAGCTATCCTTGCCACACAAGGTGATCGTTCCTAGAGTATAAAATATGAACATGTTTAACTCTTAAAACTAACTACAAAACAATAATTAAGAACGTATGAAACTGGATTATGCTTATAAGCTAGTAATGACAATAATAATAGTGTTTCATTTCTGGATAAATATTTGCAAATTCACTGTTAGGTTAAAGTACGACAATGAGAATTAAATTCCAGTCCATAAACTTTGAAATGTAACTGACTTTATTACTTCCTTATCACTAAGTCTACCATATGACAAGATGAGACTAAAATGCACAGAAATTAAAGTTTTTGTCTTTGGTTGTAAATAGAACGTAAAAAACAATGAGGAGATATGACATTTTTTATGCCTTTCCCAGTGTTAATCCTGAAATAAAATTATATGAATAATAATATCGGTCAATCAACAACAACTCAGAACCTGGTACGTATGTGTGTTAGTCCAATCCATCAATCATTAACTCCAAAGAAATCGTTTGTAGAATGATACGAAAAAAGATATACGTTAAAAGTGAGCATTATTAAATGTATCCTCCCAAAATATCTACACATACATAGTTGTATATAATGCATTGAAGTCAACGAAGAGATATACTGTTACTACAATGGGTTATTTAGTACTTTTAAGGTTTTCACCATAACTAAATCAACCTTTTTATCTCCTGTGGGCTTTACGCCAATGGATGCAAATTGTTCTAGATCAGATTGTTCCAACCACGGAATATTCTCGGTGTTATCGACATAATCGATATCTACAAAATTATCACTTGTCATACTTGACTGACACAATTCATTCATATTACTTTTAATCTGGTTCTCCCTTAAAGGTTTTGATGATTTTGTTGGTCTCGGTAAAAATATTCTACCATCTTGACTTTTGGACTCCCATTCTGCAAGTGTTGATGAAATATCAATTGATTTCGGTACGGTCACATAACGTATACGTTTACCAAATATCATTATTGTCTAGAAATTTGAAGGAAGGTAAAAGTAATATATTATCAATTTGTAATTCAAGGAAAAATAAGCCTAAGTATTAGGAAAGGTTATACCATTAAGCTCTTTGGTTACACAAAAACACGAACTCTCCGGGAACGGAAATTTTAATAATCCAAATTTAGTTGATTTTTATAAGTTTATTTAAGTATGTTCGACTCAATAGTTTTTCACTCTTTAGTGTTGCCTCTCAAAATTGTAGTCTCGAAAAGCGAATAATCTTAAGTGAGGGTTTGTAAAATAACGAGGGAAACTGGTTAATTAAAAGAGAGATTTAATATTGATTAAAGACTATGGCACAAATGTGCTGTTGTCGGTTCGAACCCATTCTCGTCTAGTTGGATATGGGCAGCCTGATATTACTGTCATGTGCTAGAATGTATGGATTAAAACAGAGTATGTTAGCCTATGATCTGTTACTGAACCATATTAGCCACTAAATTATATTAATATAATCTTTTTTTTCTAAAATTCAAAAAAGTCAAGTTTAGAGAATGTGCATCTTTTTGTAAAAAGATTAACTCACACTAAATCCTTAAACGGATCAGAAAAGAACATTCAATATTCCTGTACACTTACTATTATCAGGAAATATAAGTTTGTCTCGCAAATAATTTACCACTGCACTACAGGTTATTTTAATCTACCATAAAACAACAACATTCCCTCTGAAACAATATACTGTACTAATACAAAACAAAACATGGTCGATCAGTTCAACATCAACATTTGCATTCTGAGCTAAAGATATTTACCAGCAGAAAGCTACACTGTACTTATTAGTACTTCATGAACCATAATAAAAAATGTTAAGATCAGATGAAAGCATCAACTAACCAGTGATAATTTCAAAGTTTATTGTTAGTCTGATCTAATAAACCAGTCTTAATTAACAAAACATTGAACATACCCATTACATTGTATTTGTATACATTGTGATAACACTCTATTTCAGAATAGATTATAAAAATTCTATTATCAAGTCCAGGTTGAAAAATCACAATAGTAACTAATTTAAGTCAATAGTATTTCATTAATCCAAATCTATAATTCATTTAATTGAAAACTAGTTTAATTTGATTTTTGCTTAATATGACCTTTGATATCTTATTTAATTTATAATAAATCCTCTTGAACAAAGGTCAATTGAATAAATAAGCGAAATTTCGTCACTACAAATCATTACAAATTCATGTGCTATTTTATTATTTTTGTGTAAAAAGTTCATATCAAGGATGACTACTTTTGTTTACTTAATCCACAATAAACAAGTCCGATGGTTAAAAATCATAAGACACAGTCATTTCGGCTTATACAATATCAAGTTATTTCACTTAGCTGTATTGATAACAGTGTCTAGTCTGATAAATAAAGGTCCAATTACCTCATATAGGACTGAATGATGAAATATGAGGGAGAAAGAGATGAAAATAAGGACAGAATTCATATGTTTACATGAATAAATCCTTCAATTTGATTCAAAACTAACAAATAATAAAATTAAACTGGCTGACTGACTTAAAATAAAGAACAATGTACAGTGAATCATGAAATACAATTAATTTTTATAAATAATTCATTAATATACGCAAATTATGTTTTATCACTTTTCAGAAGCACAATAGCAATAGGTATGAGATTAGGATTTCAACTTTATTTACTGGTTAACCTTTCTGTGAGATTGGAATGTTTAATAGAGATTTTTGTGCATCTTGGTGGAAAATTTTTTTAACATGAAATGATGTCGATTTCAGGAAACCAAGGTTATTGGGTAACTATTTCATTCCAGTCTGGAACCCATCAATAGAGCGTAAACACACAAATTCATATAAAAAGTCCCATGTTTTAAACTGGTGAGTTTGGCTATATAGTGCTTCTCGGTTTTCAAAGATTCTAGAACTGGTACTATTTTGTAATGAAAATAAATTGCTAAATTTAGCATTTCTATTTAGTTGTGATTATTCATTCATTTAGTTTAGTATAGAGCGCTAGTTTATAGGTTAGAACAGTTGGCTTTCACCCAGCAGGTTACCAGTTCGAAAACCTCTCCACCAACTTCGGTTTGAGTTGTTGAATAGGTGGCATTAGTCAAAAAACAAAAAATACGACTAAATGTCTAGTACATAAATCCCTCGATAAATGATTTACAGCCAATTTAGTATCGAGATACACTATATCCCAGTAAAGTCTTAAGTTCTGACATCAGGATAAAATAATAAAATGAGATTTTAGTCCGATACTTCGAAATAAACCAATGGTGAAAAATGTTTCAACAGAGTGTGATTAAGTTCAATTATATATTTTTAGTGATATGAATATACGATAAATCAAGTCAGAAAGGATAATTCATATACCATATTAAGGTGTGACTATGACTTCATCATATGGTAATAAAATTGTTTTCAAACTTTTCTGGTAATTAAATGTTGCAGTAGTGGTGATATGGTTAGAAGTTTTGTATCAGAATGGTGCACAAAGTTAACTGATATTACTTACACATCCAAACTCTGATAAGTGAAGTAATTCTGTAACATGTGACTCAATACTTGAAAATTGATTACAAAGTAATCAATAACAACTACACTGTTATTTACGTAGTGTTGTCTACCAATGTCACGATAACCAAATGAATACATATTTAATGCCACTTTAATACTATTTAACATAACGAAATCCATAAATAAGTCTTAATACATTCCCTGGAGTTGTTTCAATAGTAATTATTGACAGTGAAAGTTCCATCAGCAAACTATATCAGCTCTAATTTTATGAAAAAGAATTGAATATAAACGCACAATTTATACTTACATAAATTGACACGATTTTATTATAGTTATCTCAATTAAGCTAATGTAACATTTTTCTTATTGTGCATTTTAACGACGCGATTTATTTTATTACGATTTTAATTCGACACCTTACGACCAATCTTCCTACTCCTTTTTTAAGTGACCTTTCAAATTTATGAATGACAAGTTGAAAGCATTTAAAGCACAACTGGTGCAAAAGCTCACTCTTTTAACATACAACCTTGTTTAAGTAGAAATGTACAAACGCTAGCAATGGGATCCAGGATGGACATTTATTCTTATTTGAGAATCATCAGCTGGATTCACGAGCATCCTAGTGTTAAAGTTTAACGCTGGGACTCCAACCCAGTACTTTTCGCTTAAAATTCCTAAAGCCTGAGGTACGGAGTTCAGGTACATTCAGCAGACGAGTCCCGAACATGACGAAATGCACGTCATAGATCTTGTTTCTAACCAATACTGACCTTTACTTAAATATCAGTAATTTACTGGGAATATCGAGGTAACCTGCTCTGGATGCACATACGCCAATTAGAGACCAATCAATGATACGTCCTTGATATCAACACTTACGAATAAGTAAATAAAATAGCCTTATCTATTTCACTTATTCATGTACGGCTTATTTTGGCGATTGTAATACAACAATTACGGATTTATAACTGTAGAGCATGACGACGAAGTTATTGGAAATAATTCTTCGCCCAAATACCCCTTGTTTTTAAATACTCTATAGGGATCATTAGATTTACTAAAGAGTTGTTACCTTTGCATTACTATCACTTAAGCAAGCGTGTAAGAAAGAGATTTCTTTAGTTTTTTACAGGAAGTACTTTCTTCCTAAAAAAATCAAATAATTCTTCATAACAAAGCAATGAACAAGAGGAACAGAAATAAACATGGAAAATAAAACACATTAAGTTAAACTAACTTCAACTACAATAACTTCATTTAGTCTGTCAGAATCTGGTTTTCGTATTATAACACCACTATCCAATTGTAAATTCATCAATCCATCACATGAACATAAACGTCCAGTTATACGTGTTTCATCTAACAGTGTTACCGTAACTGGTTTACCAATTAATGCAGCTGGAAATATAGCAACTAATGAAGAATATAAACGATCACGACTGCGCCATACCTCACAAGCACTATGATCGTCTAATATTGCCTAAATAATAATTGATAAAATAGGAAAAAAAGAAGGATATATTCACTTTCATTATTATAGTTTAATATATTAAGTACATGTGTAATGCATTTGAAACCTTACTCTATCAAATCCTAGGACAGATTATCGGATTATCTTAATTTCACACTTGTGTCATTGTTTGACGTTCTTATTAAATTTAAGTGTATTTCGTGTGCTTACTGAGTAATCGACTGACTTTTATCCTCTTGTTCTTCTCTCTTTTAAATTCTCTGATATAATTTGCACTGCATACGCCCCTGTAGGATACAAAATACCTCAAACCTGTACTTAAACCTATCAAAGGCTGAAAGTTACATATGCAGATGAGAATTTTAAAGAAATGAACTAACAAATGCAACTAAATAATACAACACGCAAATTTAAGTTCCAAACATATTGTGTCAAGATCAATTACACAAATAAAAACTAACTTTAAATCTATTAATTCATTGTTAACAAATGAGAATGATTAGAATAAGGATTTGTAACTTTATGAATAAACAAGTAAATGATATTGAGAATCGTGAAACCCAGTAGTTTAAAATGTTATTTCATAACGTTTAGAATGAAATATATTGTCACTTCTGTGGTAGTTTTTTTCCTTTAATAAGCAGTAAGATGTACATGCCCATGAAGTACCATTCATTTTGATTGTGTATTATATAAATTCTATCTTTTGATGTCTAATATACTTTCTTTATTTACTCAATGATTTTCTATTTTGTATTTCTTCAAAGTAATGTCATACTTGTTTTGCGTAAATAAAAAGATAATAAACGTGAAAAATTATTACCTTTCTCAATTTTTAAAAAACAAGTGTCCCAGAAAAACGATCAAAATACTCTCTAAATGTAAGTCAACTGCAGTTGAAAGCTACGCTCAGATGAAAAGCCATTATGAATAAATATATCACTATAGATCGTAAGGAGTTAATATGTATTAAATGACTGATAAACTTCGAACACCATTGAAAACATGAGTACGATATTGGTCAACGTTAGATGATTGATTGGTATACCGAGAAAATTCCTGCCGCAAATCATTCATTATTTGCATAACTTCGTTGTAAAAATTATTATGGCTATGGTAAGCGATACATGTTAGAGTTTCATAAATAATGACAAGGTTCTCAAAATTGTATATGAGTACCATTAGATGAAGAACCTAAATTCGAAAATCTCCGTCAAATATTCGCAACAACCCACTATCATTATTCACCATATTAAACCAATTAATATGAACAAACAAATGACAGCATTGCGCTGTTGCCAAACCCGAGATATGTGACAATTAGTTATTCAATATTTCATATAGTTGAGATCATGAGTCGATTGAAGGTAGACCACCATGGAAAACCTGGAAGCGCTGGGCGGTCGTTTCGTTCTATTGTGAGACTCCTCAGCAGTGAGCATCCACGATCCCACCTCGAGAGATTTGAACCCAGGACCTATCAGTCTCGCGAGCGAGCATTTAACCGATAGACCACTGAGCCGGCATCCAATGGTGTTTTCTAATTTTAACCAATCCACGAAACTGAGCAACCACTCATCAATGTCTTCAGCGAGTTGATATCTCCCAACAAACCTGGTTGAACTCCACTGCTGAGGATTCCCACAATAGGACGAAACGGCCGTCCAGTGCTTCCAGGTGGACTTCCATGGTGGTCTAGCTTCAATTGACTTATGATCTCAACTATATGAAATTACTAAAATCTCCACAAAACTCTCTTCTGATAATAATCAATATTTCATTGATGACATATATGTAGAAGTGCTTCTTTTTATCAATTAAATATACAAAACAAACTTGATAAATCACATGCACATTTCAATAAATAAATATTAAATATGAACTCTATTGATTATTGAGGAACTAGAATTTGGACTGACTTAATCGGTTGTGCTAGAAAAAGATTAAATTACGAGTGGTAAATATGCCACTGAAGTACAAAAGTACAATATTTGTGGTAAAATCTTGTAATCTACTTTATCTCTATTTTACTAACAATGCAAACTTGTATTCAGGAAGCTAAAATACGAAAGCTTTAGTAATTCGTCACATTTAGTCCTATTCAAGATACAAAACAACAAACCCACGGATCCCATAAGTCGGGTTAGTGATAAGAAAAGCTCTTCTTTTAAGGAACTTAGTTACCGTTCCACGCCGGTAGAACCATTTCTATAACTAATAATCTTATTCATCTGGTGTTATGACGTATGGGTCCGTAATTTATATGGACGTGCAATTTGGAGAGGAATGAATTTATTGATCGGAAGCAAATGATACTTGAAATTGTACGAGCAGTCTTGATTGCTAACCGGTCCTGCGATCTGCCTAGCCCAGCCAGTTGAGTCCAGAACACAAATAACAGCCTCGGCAATATGAATCATTATTTACAAACATACTGGGTTTTTATACAAACCAAAGTAATCAATAAACTGATTATAACTCAAGAATCGTATGATAATAAATCAAAGATCAAAATAAAGCTCATGATAAGAGAAACACGAATATGAATAATTTAGTTACGTAACAACTGTACAATAAGAAATAGGCATAATACATTGGTCGATAACAGACCTCAGATTTACCATTCATAATTCACCAGGGGATATAACATCTGGTTTATAGGCGAAACTGTTATTTTAGATTACTCACGGATATATATATATATATATATATATATATATATCAGGTTAAAAACTCATGCCTAAAACAGGTTTCGGAATTAAATGGGTGTCAAAATCTTATTCGATGATGGTATTATTTGGAGGCTTTAAATGAACTAAATCCATCAGGTCAGAATGAAGATAGTCATCCTGTATCAACATCGAGCCTAGTATATACGTAAGTTTGCCCAAATTCATATACCGCATTAACATGAAAAAATTAAACTAAGTGTACACCGAGAGATTGAAGTAACACAGTAGAAATAACAACAGAAAAGACTAATCACTAAGAACAGGTTTAAGAAGGAGTATATCAAGAGGTACTGAACTTCAACGTTGAAAGGAAGACAAACAATGAATGGATCTGTGTCATTAAAAACAATTCTGAGTCATAACATTAAAAGTCTGAAACCACTGATCGTCATTATTGCACAGACACGAACCACATAGTCCGAGTCTACTTACGCTGCTTACACCAACAGTTAATGACTTCATGCACTGATACAATCTCTTGATTTGGCCACCCTCACTTTTCGTAAAACCTACTCCTACACCAGTGAACATTCCTCGTCGAGGCAGATGGTGGTTAGAGATACATAGGACATATACTAACCAACTCAGTCGGTCAAGATTTACAGCCTCATTAACTGATTTTTCACCGTTGCCTAGTACTCTATATCTAACTCCAACATTGCTCGCTCAGTTGTTCCACGAAACATGAGGAATACTTAGAAGATACCTATAATTAAAAGCTTGCAGCCTACGCGTGCCCTGTAGTTTCATAGAGGATGTCTAACGGCCACAAAGTAATACAGAGCGGATTGCTGCACAGTACACGTCCCCTTTGGTTGGCAGACGAATATCTCACCTAGGTCACAGGTGATGCGAATACGCAAATGTCAAAAAAGCTTCTCAAATCCGTGCCGACATTTCGTCAGAAGCCGAGTCATCAGGGCTGATAAAACCTCTTAGATAAGTGGAATGGTCAAAGCATTCAATTATATCACTTCCTAGTGCTCGTACAGGTGTCGACGCAAACCAGCCCTTGGGCAAAATTTTGAATTTAGAGGGAGGGAGTCGAATCCCAAGAATACTACAAATTTCGCTCGAGATTAGAACTATGTTTAAAATAAATGTACAAATACATCTAGTCCATAACAGATAGCCAGTTAAGATGATACGTTACAGAAGTATCAGACAAGAAAAACATTCTAAATCGATGCATGAAGAATAATTCATAACTAAAAATGATGTACAGTGGATCAGTCCAACTGTAGATAGCTGGTAAGCCAACTAACAATTCACTAACTTTAAATGAACTATTTGATATACAAATATATTTATCAAGTGTATGAAAACGACTAACAATGTAACAACCTTACCTTTTCGTCTCAATCAATCTGTAATTGTATCAAACAAATTTGGGCAGTTCACATAATACGTTCTTAATCATTCAATGAGTTAGAAGCAAATTAATCACGTCATTATATAGGATTTTAATGGTAAGGTATTTAGGTACACATTAATAGTAGGGACTGTGAATATACTGAAGAGAATATCAAAAGTAAGAGAGTATCCAAGACGTAAATTTAAAAGTGATACCAAGCAGAGATTTCATTTATTCAACAAAAGACATATCACAATGTTCAAGAAACTATTCTGCTAGAAAGATATATAATACATGGCTTTCTCGTAATACTCATTTATATCCGGTAGCGTTACATGAAGAGAAATCAATTATCTATCAACCAAGTTAATAAATAAACAGCTCTATTAAATTCTTTTATTTTATTAAACAGGAATTTTGAATTAGTAACTTACAATTCGGTTATTACACATGTGAATTAGAGATACTAGATAAAATATAACAAAAGGAACAATAAAAGGGTGACTGGGAAGTTAGTGATGTTAAATATATATGTGTCCAATAAGTTCAACCAAAACAGATCTTGTAGATCTACCGACACATGATACCAGTAACAAGTGGACTGTAGTAGGGTCAAATAGATAAAAACAAGCTTATGTGCTTGCCTTAAAGATATGATATTTAAAGGAAAGGTGATGTGGAGAGAACACACATACACCCAAACATAAACAACCTATCATAAATAATTCATATTTTTCTTTACCAGAAATAACTAAATTTTCAGATTACTATTTTTAAAAGAAAAGATACTCTAAATAATAAAGTTTTAATCAAAGTGTCATCATCCACAGAAATATTGGAAAACATGGATTACTGTACAGTTGTTTCATTCTAATATGAAACTTTTTGTTAATCCACAAAAATGATACTAAACGGGATTTCATTTATGGTCTTCAGGTTTCATAACAAGTACGACAACTTTACAACACTAATTCACTTCATAATTATGGAAGCCGCCACAAATCATCCGGTTAAATTATAGGTAATTAACAGATATTCATCAGTAACATCAGCAAGCGCTGGCATACATATATACACAGGAAGAAAAGTAATTACACGTATCTTATATTCAACATTTTAAAATTGATAGAATCATGATAATAAAAAAATAGTAAAAGTTATTTATCTAAACAATACGAAGTTGAAATCAAATGTGAAGAGAAGAACAAATAAAACAAAATCAGTGGGATAATCAAATACACACTATTCTGTACAAACAAATAAAAGTGAATATAAAGAAATAACAGATGAATACACAAATAAACAAAGTGGCTAATTTTTTCTTATTTAGTAAATATGTATTTATCACTATAGGGTTGTGGAGATTGATGATCTCACTTAATGTGTATTTAACAAATTACAAGAATACGGAACTATGGATTAAAGTACTTGAAATTATAGTAAAAATAAAAAAAACATTGAAAATAACATTTTACAATCATATGATGAAAAAGAATAATCTTAGGCTGTTTCAGTATGATTGGGGTTTGTATCTAATAAATTCCTTTGGTCTTGACTGTTACCATCATCATTGTTTCTGTGATGTAATTGATAAAAAAAGAATTGACACAATATCTGAAATAAATGAGTAAAATTGTTATAATAATTACTAATTTCTTTGATTAAGAAAAACTGAATCAATATACGTATACACGAATTTAGCCCCCTAATGCCCTGGTACGCCCGAGGGTGGGTAGTGTCCACTATCTCTCTCGAAATGCTCTCACATGGCCACGCGTATATAGCCTCTGTCAGCGAAGTCCTACTCACTGCCTTCTCGTGGTGGGGGTGTTGTTCACGAAAAAGAGAGGACGAAAAGCGAATGTCCGGCGCTTTAACTGGGTTGGTGGATACGGAGGGTCCACCTAGGGGAGTTGGAAAACCCTGATTCCAAACCAATGGTGCACATGAGTTCCAGAATCCCGAGGGAACAAATGGTGTATGAATCAATCGTTGGTCACCGGCTACCATGGGACTGCATCTCCTCACGATGCTCCACTGCCTTGTGGATCAGGCCTTTAGGTCGAAGGCTTGGGGTGTGGCCCCCTAAAAAAAACTATCTGCTTCGATCTGGGCACCCGGGCAGTATCATAGCCCTCACACAATTAAATTAAATGACAATTTTTTGCATATATATCTGGTTCCTCTTTGTACCAATATTTCTGTCTTCAAATAATAGCTTTTTAAACGCATAAAATCTGTAAGATAACATGAATTTAATCGAGATTGTAAATGCACATGATGGAATTGTAATATTTGTATTATAAATGCGAAAACTGAAACTTGAAACAGCAAGGACTGAAATTTGTGACAAGCGAAGAAGACAAAACTGATGGCAGATACGGTTTTATTCACCTCCCAAAAGCACAACGACAATTTATCAAACCAAATAAATTCATTAATGTACGAATTTTATTCCCATCCAAAGATTGGTCAACGGATATCATATATAGTTGAAATGGTGGCAATACAAACGGATTTTACATTGGAATTACACAAATGATCATAAATATAATAAGCAAATATCACACTGAAATAATACAAACGAACTATGAATGCCATATTGAACGAATGTCACAAGGAATTAGTACAAAAGAATAATATATTTGATATGTTTGATGCTATTACGAGTCCACCTTACTCGGTAAACGGAACGAAAGTCAAAGACACAGTGACATGACAGGCTATTCTAATCTGTTGTCCCCGGCCCTGCTAACTAGATCAAGAAGTCTTGATGAGGCGTAGAGAATGTATTCTACAAGCACTCAGAAATACGAGATCACTAAGCACACAAATCAAACTTATTTATACAATGATAGAAGCGCCCTTGGGAGAACCACAAAGTAGCGTACTAAAAAATCCGTCAACCAATGACAGTCAAGGATTCCCGAGTAGGAAATGTAAGCTGTAGGTCAACTAGGCATCTCTTGGTGCGAAAACGTAAAATTCAAATTTTCAGAATAAAATTACAAAACTAGGACCTTTTCCAAGTGAGTTCTGGGGATCTAACGTCCCCAAAAATGTTGAGCCAACATAATGCTGAATTAAAAATACAGCGAATGATATTGTAGTGAATAAAGACTTAGTAGGGTAAACTAATTTACTGTTTGATGCAAAATCAGATGGTACCTTTGTAACATATGAAAATCATACATTAACTGCATCATTTGTAGATCATTGTTCAGTTGTTCTTTACATACTTCACCATTCTTCCGGTCCTGTTGTTATTCTGACTGCTCTTCGTTTTCCTTCCCCTTCTCTTTACTTCAATTTTTTGGTGGTAAGCATTCTACTTCTGATACCTGCTACATACTACTTATGTCTGTCCACATAAGTAGTGTACATCATAATATTATGAAAAGATGTTTAACACTGAATTAAAACATGTCATCCCAATCATTTGACTTATTTTATACTGTAAATTTTGTAACAGTAAAAGATTCTCAACACCAAGTACGCAGTATTGCACTAGGTCTCTCTTTAACATACAATCGAATCGTAATTATTCAAATATATATGTGCTTTTAAAATATTTTTCAATAGTCAGTATCTACAACCCATATTCAATTGAGAAAGTTTTTTACAAGTTTAGCTGCTATGAAAATTCTTCATCTATCATATATTAATTCCCTTAATTCTAGTGTGATTCCGTACCATTTCTTCAAAAGATAAAGAAAGCGGAAAATATTCTAACAACTGTGGAGATTTAGTTTAAGCACCCAGTATTTAGTATCACGATAAGTTGAGTTAACGAATTTACTTTTTCGTCACTCAAGTACATTAATTTACTAATATAAATCCCTAAACCTTAAATTAGCTTACACGATTAGTCGAATTTAACTAAACAACCATTAGAAACTACGGAGCATCGAAAGGTTGTTCCATCTAAGCATTGAACTCAATAGTTCGCAACCAAGACCCTTATATCCCAACAATGACTGTGTTACATTTAGATTACTAAGCCAAAATCAAATGTTTCACATTTTCAACTACAACCAGTATGCAATACTTAGAAACAATTATCCAGTATCATCTTTGATAACTGAGTCACTTCTAACATGATCGAGCTCTACAGATCATGGGCTCTTATCAGAACTGAGAGGATTCGTGAAGTTCCATTTTATGAGATAAAAACAAGCATAATCAAGTCTAGAGCTGTAGAATATAGTTATGAAATATTAAAGAATTAAGCTTAATAATTATTAATTAAAACATATGAACTTACAAAAAAATCTAACAAAACTACACCGAAACTTCCAACAAGCCACGGTGTAGCTCTGATTAAGTAGTTTTTTTCAGTAGATGTAAGTAAAATTTGGATACCATATGAAATATTACCAGTAACAGCCATAGAAAACATGAACATAGACAGTCCTTCAGTTGATTTACGTTTCCACTTGGGCAGAAAAAATTAGTTTGCAGAAAGTTATTTATTAACAAAATGTTCTGCAGTCTGTTTATTATTATTGTTATTAATTGATTAAATTATTCAAACTAACAGTTTGAGACTAAATACTCAATCATATATAACAGACAGTGTAGCGGATGCAGTCGATCTATTGTTTTTTATATTCACTAATACTGAAAGATGTTATAAGACAGAAGAAATATGCTACAATTAAAATTGTCCAGAAGAATGTTCTAGTGTTTATATTTGTTTACATTTATAAGAGAGATTACTGAGAAAGGAGAGAATGTAAAGTAAAAACTTCACAAATAGAAGTTGGTATACTTCGAAAACGAGAAAAGATCATTTTGCGATTCATTCATTGGCTCAGTTCTGCATATTAGTGTAACTTCATCCAAGACTTCATTTCAAGTGGCTGGAATTATCCACAACTGTCTTCTATGGAAATATCCAGTACAGTGAAGATCGACATAATGGGTTAACAACACAATTATCGTTAAAGTTAGGCTTTAGAAGGGGCTTGAAACCTGCAACCCAGTATTTAAATGTCAAAGACTTTTCCACTTCATTTCTTGAGAACTCTCACTTTGAATAGACTGGTTTAAGGCTACTGGTCCCACACATATTATTTTCAACAAACTACCTATCCAATAAAACCACATACTAGTCATGGTAATCCTCATTCATTTTCTATAATATAGTGTCGATAAATAATCTTCAAACTATACATAACTTCAAGTATAGCTTTAGTGAACACCTTGTCCTTTCAGTTGAGTGTTCCTTATTTTTTACCATAGGATAGGACCGGGAGATAAATAAAGCAGATAATTGAAATAATCTGTTACTCCAAAACTTTAAAAATACAATCTTACATATTTGTATATTTCTTATTACTTTCAATTTAAACAATTACGTATAATATACATGGTGGTTAAAGATGAGAGAGAAGGTAATTGGATTACGATCGAGACTAATTCAATGGCATTGGAGAGTATTCAACGTCTCCTTTAAGAGATGGATTAAAAGAAAATCAAACTGAATTGTACTTCGTTAGTTTTCAGATTATATAGCTTGGTTAACATGACATCAAACAAATTGTTTATAAGTCACTGATTTACACTTCATACTGGTCAGAATCTCTTATCTCATTCTGTTATATATTTCACTGTGTTTGAGCACTGGACTCTGGAAGAGTTCCTTAAATGAGAACTAAAAGTATTACCTGAATGCGCAAAGCAAAATATGCCGAATGTGACCCAGTAAGTGAAAGTCAAATACCTAAACTACCCGAGTACAACTTCGCTTATAGTCATTCTTCCAGAATAACAGTTGGGTCCTTCAGCATATGTACATTAATCATTAACTAATGGTTGTATGCACGTAACATAATTTTATATAAATTTGATAAGAAAGCTCGAATTAAACATACATTGCGAAATAATTGTGGCAACCGAGAGAACATGTACATGGATGTAGAAATCCACCCAAGAATATATCCCAATATAACTGTCGCACCCTGTTTCGAATAAAACAACAAATTCAAGACTGAAATCAGATCTGATGAATGATATAACCTTTATGATTATGATTCGTTATGTAAGTGTACTAAAAAAAGTAATACTTTTTTGTACGATTCTCAAGTACAAAATTTTAAATCATCAAAAGAGTTTTGCGACAATAAAATTAGGAACAAGATTAATATTGCAAAATAATGACGCTTGTAACAATTACAAAATTTAACAACGAACACTTATGTGAGCAAATATTTTATTTTCTTTCTCAAAAAGTTTATTTTGATGATACCGGATTAATATCAAACGGATAGCCACCGAAATAAATTAAGTAGCAATGTAGAGGTAGTTCGTTTTGACGAAGAAATTTCCAAAAGGAAACACTCCAAATCTTAATGAGGATTGGATTATAGGGAATAGTAGATCCCTACTGAATTACTGAAGTATGAATGGGCGGCAAACTAATCTTAGTATCAATCACTGTATTCTACCATTATACTTTAGTTTGCCGAACAGATATGTAGGTGGACTACGATAACTGTCACCTCTTTAGCTTCTTATGTTTTACGGAAACTGTGCTCTCAGCATAAACGTGAACAATTCAGATACATCTAGTATTTATTTTTTAAGCATATGTCGCAGAAAATAAGGCCCATTTATATGAGTTTTTTCCTTCGACAAACATTTGGATGTCTTGTTACAGTAACGTTTCATCAAGGTAGTTTGAAAGCTGTATGTTGGTCAGAAGAACTAATGTTCTTTGGAATTTCTTCTGCATGATTTTATACACACATGCTGTCGAGGAGTTTAAAACTGGAACCAAACAGCTGTCCGATGATTTGTGGTTTTAAGTACTTCTCCAGTTTGATTTCAGTGTTTGTGATGAAAACTATCACCATAGTTGAGAAACTGACTAACATTTATGTATTCTTGGTCACCAGACCATAGGAGCAAAAGTAATCGCTTCTATCATACATTTACGTGCAAATCTAAACCCATGCTGAAACATTATTTTATCTCACATTTCTTACGAATGCATTACACACAGGTAAACATTGGCATTATTCTGCACTGATTGACCACTGGAAAGTAACCAAATTCGTTTTAACCTAACCCACAGTGATGATTGAATTTTACCGATCAGGTTGCAATGTACCCACTAGTGTAAGTGGTTTGGGATCGATACGAAGCCACTTTAGCTGCCTATACCCACCTCGTACCATTCTGTTTACATAATCGGTGAAGTGTACAAGTAAGAAAAAACTAGGTTACGTGAGATCTTTTGTCGGTCACAAGTAATTTTTTGTTGAACTTCATAACTAAATGATCACCACAGATCAACAAACATCTTTCTTAGAATATGAAAAACTTAAACTAAGAAAATGAGAAATCTAAATGATCATTAAGAACAAAGTATTTGTGCTGTTCAGCATTCTAACGACGATAATCCATTTCCTCCTAACAAGCTAATCTTCTGTTTTGAAAATTTTCTTACAAAGCTATCTAAAAGATACTAAAGTTACTAAATATGACCGGAAAACCATACTGTTCAATTTAAAAACTTACATTTAAAGGATCTGAATCTATGAATGGATGATCTGTTGATTCATATTGTTTCCACTCCAATAACTGTCTCGATTGGTAGTGCAAGCCACTGGATATTGATTGTTTAACAACGTAAGTGTTAAACGGATCCTCGATAGAAGTTAAAGAAATGCCCATCAAAGTTAAACATCCTACACCAACTAAACCAACTGAAAGTCTTTGATATCCTTGATGTGAATTATGTTGTTCTGATTCGTCACAAATAATGGGAGAAGAAGAGCTTGGACTCGAAGATATTTCACCATCTTTTAAAGCTGCAGCCATTCCTGAAACGAAAAAGTAATTTTATAATAGACTGGTGTATATATGCAGTAACTGTTGAACACTAAATATATAAAGTGTTATGCCATATCATGAAGTTGATATGGCAACGGAGAAAAATCGCAGTGCGAATGAATAAGGGAATAACCATAGAGACAATGCATGAGCTTGGAAACGATCAAAGTATGAAAGCTGTTACGCTTGTTATTTTTTGTTTCCCTGTTGTTGTTTTTTTGCTTTGTTAATTAGTGTGGATCATTCAACGCACATTTATATGCAGGAAAATAAGGTTTGGTCAACAGTTAATATTAATTTGGTTTGAGATTTTAAGCGACTGTTAATAGAAATAAGAAAAACAGTATTTACTTACAAAAGTTAATTTGGATGCCTAGACATACAATTCTCAATAACACAAACCATTAGTTTGAATACAACGGTTTATGATTGTTTATATTCTTGACGCAGCTTTGAGAAACTTTACATATACGTATGTTTAATAAGAGTGAAGAAATTATAATTCATGGATGAACCAGATATAACAGGTCTCTAATTTTTGGCACGAAATTTATCCATTTAGTTGAATAGCTTTTTGGCATTTCAGCTGATGTCATTTCGTGACGAAAACCCTAAATCTAGTTCCTAGGCCTAACCATCAATTGTAAATCATAATTCTGATTCCGCACACTGTTTTATAACCCTCATTTAGTTCTAATTAATAGTTGGGCATTCTTAAGGTCACTTTAGCGCCGTCCATAAGCTATAGTCTCACCATAATAGTTATTATCTAACATTGGTGAGTACTCATAAAAATTATGCCTTTATCGAAAACTCGAACAGACTAAAAGGTTACATGACTCATGTACCTATTATTTAAACTTTGAATTTCACTTTGATGAACACCAGTTTCGGTTGTGTGCTAAACATTTTGCACAATTGCATAAAATCATCTTTGTGGGACAAGATTTTCTAGATAAAAGCCTTTCAGAGAGTTCATAAGAACACTTAAAGCTGTTAACAGTAACTAATGTTAGTTGGTTGGAGGTAATCGGCAGTTTGGTTTAGTGCATGCTGAGGTCAGTCGCTGAAGCGTGTTATATAAATAAAACGGAACTCATGACACTACAACGATCTGAGCTGACAACAAATTCAACAATCCTGCCAATAAACTACTCAAGCTGAGATGACTTGTCAGTGGGACTAAAATAAATATTTCACGTCAATATTGAGTTGTAACCAATACTAAATTATCTAATTAATCAAACCATTCTCTCGACAAAGTAAAGGCTTAAAAAGCAATTTTTGGCATATTGGAAGAATTACAGACCTAGGTGGAATTTTCGTAAAACAGTGAGCTTTCTGCAAACCTGTACACCTTCGTAAAATCAGTTATTTGAATCAGTAACCACACCAATATATTATTTCATACAAAATCATTCTGCCATTCCTCAGTGGTACTGACTGATACTTTTCCCAAATATAATTATTGTTCGTTGAAAGGCTTAGTTACACAGGAGGATAATAAAAAGAATAGCAAATCTTATTTCGGCATGACACATCAGGCATATATATTTGGTGCCCCTCTGTACTAATATTTATGTGTTCAAATAAATAATCTAATGAGATGACATCAGGCAAAACAGAATTAGACGAATTTCTCCCTAACGAAAAATACATCGTTAAGATAAACAGGAAGCAAGTCTAACATATATGTTTAACCATAAAATAATTCTTGTCAACCTTTTACACGTTCAAATAGAATATATTGATCAATTAAGCATGAAAGGCTGTTACTGTGGTTTAACCATCACCATTCTCATACTACTTAGAAAGTTAAGATTGAGATTCAAATAAATTAAGATCACAACCAGACTCGAAACACTGATTACTTAATGAGTGTTTTACTAGCTTAGTCACTACAATCGTTATGTTAAATAGATTCAGAGAATAAATAGCATTGCTTTATACGAATGTTCGTCAAGATCAGAACGAATAGCTTGACAAAAATTGGGCGCCGAGTATAGAGAGGTCATTATATGTGAAAATTATATTTGAAATAACCTCAGCGATTGGAATTTAAATATTTCTAACGTTTCGTCCAGCTAACTTGTCCGGACTTCTTCAGGATAATAAGCAATCCCATACCGTAGTGAAACATCGGAAGAAATCAAGCGGATTCTAAACAACCATGATTTGAGAGTGCATTTTCGGACGTGTGGCACTATAAGGACGGCATTAGTGAAAGTTAAGGATAGGTTACCGAAGGAAGAACAACAAAATATTGTCTATGAGATCAATTGTCATGATTGTAATGCAGCTTATGTGGGAGAAACATCCAGACAATCGGATGTTAGGTTGAAGGAACACAAACAATATTTGAAAAATGTTCCCAAAACCTCGGTTGACGTAAGGAAACTTGAGAATAAGTCTGTGATAGTGTCACATGTGTTAGAAATAGGATACAGGATTAATTTCGAAGGGGCCAAAATACTCCAGAAAGGCTTTAACACTAATAAAGGAAAATTGACAGCAGAAGCGCTGTATATAAGGGCGAATAAGAACAGTCTGAAACAGAAAGGATGGTATTCAGCTAGCAACTATTTGGCAAACGTTCATTAACAGGTAATGCATACGTACACTGGGTTGTTGTTAAATACTCTCTCGCCAATCTTTATCTTCACATACTATACCGCCCAAAGTGATTTTGTATTCTCCCTTATCTATAAGTGAATGGGTGTTGACGAGCCGTTAAGATACAATAACGAATGCGTATGGTGTTTATCGCCATAAAGTTTTCAAAACTATTCTTTCGAAACATAATCAAATAATAAACACGATGGGCTGAATTTTTCGAAGGGCAGTTCAATTGGCCTGCTGCTCCGGCAACATCGACCAGTTTTTCCTGCCCCCCATGGCCGGTGACGGCTGATCCACCAAACGAGGCTGAAGTTCACAAGGAACTCCAACTCTTGAAGCGCTACAAATCACCTGGCCCAGATGACTTACCTCCGGCTCTTTTTAAAGATGGTGGTGACTTTCTGGCTAAGGAACTGACTGAGTTGTTTGCAAAGGTTTGGGAGGAAGAAAGTGTTCCAACATCGTGGAATGAGTCGATAGTCGTCCCTATCTTTAAAAAGGGTTCACGTTGTTCCTGTGATAACTATCGGGGGATAAGTCTACTTTCGATTGCGTCCAAACTATTGGCTTCTGTCATTCTTCGTAGGTTGTTTAAAACCCGAGAACGATTGACTCGCGAGGAGCAGGCTGGTTTTCGTTCTGGTCGAGGATGCATTGATCACATCTTCACCCTCCGCCAAATGTTAGAACACCGTCATACTTATCGCAGGCCAACAATCGTAGTGTTTCTTGATATCAGGGAGGCCTTCGATTCGTTGGACAGGATTGTTCTCTGGGATTATCTATTGAAGAAGGGTGTGCCTGAGAAGTTTATTAACATCTTAAAGGCCCTGTATACGAACACCTCAGGCAGAGTGAGGGCATACAACCACCTTTCTCCCTTGTTCCATTCGAGCAGTGGGGTTAGGCAGGGTTGCCCAATCTCACCATTCCTCTTCAACTTTGCCATCGACGACATCCTGGAAACAGCTCTGATGGATGTAAGTAATGGCGGTGTGGATATGTTGCCTGGAGAACGACTTCTCGACCTTGAGTATGCGGATGATATTGTCTTACTGTGCGATAATGCCCAAGGCATGCAATCCGCACTTAATCAGTTGGCAATCAGTGTCCGCAGGTACGGCATGTGCTTTGCACCCTCCAAGTGCAAGGTACTCCTACAAGACTGGCAGGATTCTCATCCTGTTCTCATCCTGGATGGTGAGCAGATTGAAGTAGTTGAGAAGTTCGTGTATCTAGGTAGCTACATAAGTGCTGGTGGTGGCGTGAGTGATGAGATTGATGCACGCATAATGAAAGCCAGAGCGGCTTATGCCAATCTGGGCCATCTTTGGTGCCTTCGTGATGTTAGTCTGGCTGTAAAAGGTCGGATCTACAACGCGTTGGTGAGAGCATTTTTGCTCTATGCTTGTGAAACCTGGCCTCTCCGAGTTGAGGATGTCAGACGTCTCTCTGTGTTCGATCATCGTTGTCTCCGAAGGATTGCTGAAATTCAGTGGCAACACCATGTTAGTAATGCAGAGGTTCGGCATCGTGTGTTCGGGCGCAGAGACGATAATTCAATTGGTGTCACCATCTTGAAACACCGACTTCGGTGGCTTGGACATGTTTTACGAATGTCGTCCCAGAGGCTTCCACGTCGTGCATTATTTGCCGACTCTGGGACTGGTTGGAAAAAGCGGAGAGGAGGTCAGTGTATGACATGGTGTCGTGGCATGAAAGAGAGCTGCAAAGGGCTAGCTTCTGTTGGTCCTTCACGACTCCCTGGCTGGGGTCCGAGAGATGGTGCAACACAGTGGCTAGAGACGTTATCAGATATGGCTCAGAATAGATGCCAGTGGCGAGCCTGCTGTAACCTTCTTCTACTTTCTGCATAAAGAGTGGCTATAACTTTCCTAACTGAGAGAGCTCTTCTGGTTGTATATTCAGTTCCCCCCCATCATTACTCTTCTCCTTTTCTTTTTCTCCTTCTTTTATATATACGCATCTCCTTCTTTCTCCCACTCTCATTATTTTGTGTGGCGCATATGTATCCGGTGCCCTTTGTACCAATATATATGTGATTAAATAAAATAAATAATAATAAACAAAAATAAGATATGAATAAAGAAAACAAATGTTTGTGTACATTTCATCATGCACAGAAAAAAGAAAACTTCCAATAACGCAGTCACACTAAACTTACTACGTAAGATAGCCTTATGACGAAGTTTGTAATAGATAAATTGGAACACAAGGACGAAGTCACTAACAATACAGTACCCTGTCACAACAATCTGTAAAGTATAAACAGTTTGCAATCCTTAAATTGTACATTAAAGTTAAGGCAAAAAGGAATATAAGTCGAAAATCAAACAAACTTTCATAGTATGTTGGACATTCATTACGCACTAATATTTTTTTCATTAGTTGATCAAGTTCAAGTCAGATACGGTGGGATTACAGACCACCCCTACTGAGATATTTCGCACAATTCTAAAACAATATTAAAAACACAATCGCAATTCACTAGACAGTAAAACCACTGTAAAGTTTAAGATGTGATATTGACGGAAAGTAATCGTTTGGATCTTCGTATTCCAGTCATTTTTCTTCATATCTTGAACGCTTTAGTTTAGAAGATAAATATCGGATATATTCTACTCACTGAGATCTTTAGAACAGGATGAAAACACCAAAAAATGGTGCGAAATACTTATTTCATTAGTGAAATACACTGGAACCATACAAGAAAGAGATTTAATAGTAATTCATAAAATTTCATTTATTAAGCTACTCAAAACAATCCGGTCTACTCCTGGGATGAATACTTTACTCAATAACCATTTAAATACCTTTTACACTTAATTCGAATCAAAATGGCCAAAAGTGACAGAATTCCTACAATAAGACAGAGCTAAAACTGATGCGGAAATCAAATAACCAGTGAAATAACTTTTTGCCATAATATTTCTTATAAAGTTGGTGACTAACTTTCTTTAGGTTTACAGTGGCATGATTATGATATATCATTGATGATTTTTTTTAAAACAGGCCAGTAAACTAACGTGTAAGCTACAATTGTAACCTGAGGACTAACGATACTACCAGACTTCCTCAATCGTGTTATTAGAAGGTAGAACAATAATTCAAAAGACAGAGGTTAAGCGATTAAACATCAAAGTTTTAAAAACTCGATAGTACTAGTCAATTGCTTTATTTTGAGCTGAAACTTATCAATATTATGCAGGCTGTTCAATGAATATATTAACTTATCAGCCATCAGGTTGTGGTAAGTATTGATGCAATGTCGTAAACACATGGAAGTTCGTGTACAAGGCTGAAAGTGAAACCTTCCATGTTATCGTGATATAGCGGGCATGAAGTTTAAAAGTTCGTTTTTAATTTAATAAGTGACTGAGTGACCTCAAGAAACTCATGTCTTGCTATCGCCTATGTTTCAAATGACGTTGAATCATGTTTACTATTGTGTATAAATGTGTTATTCCGTTAAGAAAATAACATTGTTAGATAGTCAGCTATGTTGTCTTCTTATATTAGCTCATTTGGGGTCTTGTGTCTATCTGTAACCTGAAATCATCTGTTGATCAGCATCTTATTAATCAATTTGACAATCAAAATATATCCACGATAAGCCAAAACTCCTCATGTACAACCGAAAGACAAAGACATAAGTTGGCAGAGAAAAGTTTAAAAGCATTATTCTATGATATGAAGCAAGGTTCACTGAACATCGATCTACAATTTATTAACAAAATGACAGCCTTTGTATGCATGTAATAAAAGTAGTCGTTAAGAATTAGAATATTTAACAAATTGTAAACCAATACTTAAATTTATAGAATTAGTAGGTTCTAAACCAGAGTGCACTTATGAGAAAAAGATTTATACAATTTACATCTTCATAATATATGTGAACTACATTGGATTTTAAATATCATAAAACTAGCTGAACGGACCTGCATAATCAGTTGATGTGTTAAAAAACATCCTATCAGGTTGCAGACATCACCAAAAGTCCAAAAGCAAAGAAAAATAGGAGAAAGAGCTTTGTCTGCAATTCCTGTCCGAAAATTCTCGACAATTTGAGGTATACCCACTGCAATCCAAAGAAATAAACATAGAATTCCACAAAATAAGGCTATGCCACCCTGAACATCCATAACGCACAGTCCCATTGAAACCCATATCCAGTGAATTCCATAAGTGCAATTCGAGTCAGCAGGTTCTAGGCGAGACATGTTAGATATTTCTGAAGAGATCCAACTATTAGGGTAGATAGGTGGAAGACCGGGAATAAAACCACCTGGCATCCTTCAAAGTATGTTATTTTGAGGTGATGTTTGGCTGTCATTAAATAGAAAATGAATCTCATTAGGGAAGACATACATGAGATTAATATGTAAGGTACAAAGTAAAGAACGGATAAAAAATTCAAAAAAAAAACAAACGACTGCATTTGGAATTCCCAACACATTATGGGAAATAAAATCGCAAATATTATTTTAAGGAAATTATAGCTATAACGGCCCAAGTTTTCTTATGAGGCAAAACTAGAGAAGATGGAGTAAAAATCGTAGTTTGTAAATTTACATGATAAAATTATCCCAACATCCCCAATGCAGTGTGCTTAAACCAAGAAACTCACAAGTTTTTAGATGGTGAGCAAGAGGTTTGCTCAAGATTGTTGTTACTAATGAAAGTAATTTTGTGTTTTAGTACAAATAAATCAACTCTATTTGGTATCTTGAGATCATTTTATTTGGTAATGTGAAGGTGTGTCATTAGAACATAAAGAAGTTCAAACACACAGCTATTTGATAAGTAGATGAGGAGTATTAGAAAGAAAATTGTGTGATGAGATTTTATATCAGAAGGGATTCCGAGTCAGTGGTCTATCGGTTAAGTGCTCGCGCGCGAGACTGATAGGTTCTGGGTCCGAATCTCACGATTGCGGGATGTGGATGCGCACTGCTGAGTCCCATAATAGGACGAAACGGCCGTCCAGTGCTTCCAGGTTTTCTACGGTGGTCTAGCTTCAATTGACTCATGATTTCAACCATGAAAATGATGAGATTTTGTTGATGAGTTGATAGGACAAAATTTTCACATATGAATCTTGAACTACTTATTCTCGAACATTGGACAAGCTAGAAAGCAGTAAATAAGTTTTTAAAATCTATGGATGTTTTTAGAGATTGGGAAATTGTATGGGATCTTTTAACATGGTACGTATAATCTAACACATTCCAAATAGGAGAAAGCTAGCAACATTGATCATTATATACATAACTTCAAATGAGATACAGCGGTCATTTGTATTGATCATCGACTATGAATAATCCCACACAGAGTAACAAGCCATATGTACCCGTTGTCTTATAATCTTAAATCATGTATACCAAAATCTTAAACACCTCAAAACAAAAGGGGGGACTAAGGCAAACATTGGGAAAATTCTAGAGAAAATTCTTAAAGAAAGCCAATGTGAATATAGGTGACAATACATCCGATTGTCTCCTTTTTAAGCATCCTGAATAAAGTGTGAAATTTTCCCGAAATTTCATAAGGGAGGAGGAATGTCTCGAGCTTTACAGCCTGAGCCGAGCAAAAACAGAAAAGACTTTGGGGAAATGAGTTCTAAGGGACGTTCTCTTAACGTTTAAATTCCTGGGAGGACAATCTGACGAAAGTTCGGAAACTAATATTTAATTGTTTGCTCTTGAAGGTCTGTTATTGGTATCTTGTTGTGGATGACTCGAATAATCCTTCAAAAATTAAATGCATTAACATTGCCTATCAACATATTAATTTACGCAATGTAGTAATTTCGCTTTCGACAGCTTAAATAGCAACCTCCAGGGTAAAAATATAGATATTACGACTATATTTGCACATCGGTAATGTGTGTATACACGTCAGAAATTTTGGAGTATCGAATTCGAAACAAACGGAAGTAGTACGGATGAACTGACTTTTTCAAGGTCTAGCAGACTGAGTTTTGTGGAATTGGCCTACGTGGTATTAGAGAATGATGGCAAATCAGTTGATGAGGTCACGAATCTTCATCGACTGAGATGGTTAGGCCATGTGTTACGTATGCCTGAACACCGATTACCACGACACGAAATGCTGACTAGTATTGAAGACAGACGGAGCAAAGTTAGGGGTGGCCAAACCAAAACGTGGCATCAGTCATTGAAATCACTAAATTCTGGTCTTAGCCATGTTGGCGGATGCAGACTACTTGTTTTGGGTCCACGTGACTATCGTAACCAATAGTTGGAGACTCTAGGTGACATGGCTCAGAATCGATCACAATGGCGTAGGTGTATTCAATCTTTATCTTCCCTTAAACTATGAGATTAAAATTACTTCATAACTTTCTTCATTACTATACTATATCCTTACATACAACCTTTCTTTTATATACTACCACCACTAAATTAACTACTCCTATGAATCCGGTGTTCATCTTGTTGTGCTAACAAGGTATGGCAACTTGGACCGATGCATATATGTGCCTGGTCCTACGTTGTAGCTGACTGACTGGTCTACGTGGTAACTTAATTATATTCCTACAGTCTTCAGTAGTAATGATGAGTCAATCGACTTACATTAATTCTTGTAACTTATAGCGCTTCGGAGACTTAATCTTTCTTTGAATGTATCAAAAGGTGTTGATATTACGTGTCCTGTGAGAGGATTGTAGTAACTAAATGCTCGCTGCGAGAAACGGGCCTCCAGGCGTAGACTATTTGATCTCAGGTTTTAAAATTTCCTGGGATCTTTTTTTATACGATCATTCCTAAATATAAGGAAAAGACAATAAATATTATTTGCAAGATAAACGTCCATTAAACGGTAAGCCAATATTAATTAATACGGGGTCATTAAAATCACCCCGTAACTAGGGGTAAGACAACGTAAGTAGGTTTGGCGCTTTAGTCTGTCTTAATAAGACAGTCCAATGAGTCCTTCTACAGTTTTGTTCCCTCGCCCCTGAACTCATCCTAGTATATCTGATTCATGAAGTATGCATACTTGAAACAAGGACTCGCGGATTGAATTCCATATTCCAAATGCAGTCTCACAAATTCACAATGATATAAACATATTCTTTCAGTTCAAAGTAATTTTACATTGGTTCTTAACAGCCAGAAACTATTCAGGTTTCAACAATACAGTCCGAACAGCACAGCTCAATCCTGTGGCGAAACTACACGAGGATCCAGGAACTTGAAATATTTTTGAAATGTTAATTTCTAGATTATTTTATTCAAATAGACAACGTTTCAGTGAAAATCAGCATAAATCGCTCTGGAAAAATAAATACTAAAATCGCCGCTTGTTAGATGTACCAGCTGAGGGGTGACCTTGATTATATTAAATTTGTGAGAAGCGCGTATATCCAACAGAAAATGGTTCAAATGGTTGTGAACGGAATGGAAGAAGCTTTCGCTTAACAGGCTTCCGTGTCTAGTAGCAGTGGATCACCAATACCTGCAGGCAGGAACCTAGGTATATTAACTATAATAGGAAAAAAAAGAAATTGGTAAATCATATTAATATATTAGTCATTAAAAGTAGTTCAAGTTTCTTCTTAAAGGACTCCCGGGAAGTTGCTTGGACTAGCTCAGTCGGTAGCGAATTCCAGCAGTTAACAACTCTAACGGAGTAGAAATTGTGTCTGCAGCCTGTTCTGCTATGTAGGGTCTCCAATTTCTGGGTGTTACCTCTCAGGTTAGTGTTATGACTAAGCTTAAGAAGATGTTTAAGGGGATGACCAGAAGTGGTAAGGATACTGTAAGTCATAAGGTCACCTCTAAGACGCCTATACTCTAATGGATAAAGGTTAAGTGATTGGAGGCGCTCTTCATTAGGTTTGAATTTAAGTCCCGAAGTGATTTCGTGGCTATACGTTAGATACGTTCCAGAGTATCCTTGTCCTTCTGGAGAGAGGGGGGAAATACTAAGCTTCCGTACTCTAAATGGAAACGAATGAAACTTTTGAAGAATATGTAGAAAGTTCTCCCGTCAAACTGGCCAAAAATGCGCTTCAATGTTACCAGTTCAAGATTTGCTTGAAAGGCATTTTTGTCACAGTTAGCATACGGCTTTAAGCCGTAGGGTACCAAAACTCCTAAATCTTCTTCCACTTGGGATATTTCTAAAAGGGAATTTCCTAAGTTGTAACTATGGTCGAACATCTCAATCCATAGTCGTGTAAAGCTAACATCTTCAACCGCTTGAAATTCCAGCGCCTGTCGTTGATGGGACATCTTAGCTCAGTTTTTGCTGACAAAACTGAAGGATATAATGGTGTTATCGCATTTCCCCAGGGGAGCTAGAATTGTGTGGTTGTTGACTAGGAATTCTTCATTTGTGAATACCCAGTCTAAGCGCGGCGGCGTCTGACCGTTTCTTCAACGAGTTGCCGACTTCACGTTTTCGAATAATCCCAGAACATCAATGGGGTTGAAGAACCGAGCTTCATTAGAGTTTTCACCTCCAATATAGGTATGTTCCGCGAAATTGGCTCTAGGAAGATTGAAGTTCCCTAGAATCAGAACATGAGAGAATCTGAGACGCGTAGAGCGGGTTAATCCTTCCAGCATACGATTGTCGAGAAACTCTTGGCTGTGAAGTTGGTGTACCTCCAGGCATGGTCGTAAGTATAATGCTACCCCAATCCCCCTTCCTGTTTTTCTGTCTTCGCAAAGCAAAGACATTCCAGGTACTGCTAGCCCCTGGTCCGTAAACTGAGAAGATATCCAAGTTTCGGATATTCCTATCAGATTAGCATCATTAGCGTTGCCAAGACCACGTAGCTCATCCATTTCATTTGGCAAACTCGCGGCGTTCGTGTATAAGCAGTTTATGCTTTCCATTTGGAACGTGTGAGCTTCTTCCTGTCTGTCTGAGCTTTACGTGAGTGGACAGGTAGCCTACCATTCAAAATATTAGTTTACTGACTTCCAGCTTAAATTATCAGATCATATACCTGACCTTATTGAAAAGAAAAAGAATCAGGGGTTGCTTTCATTAAATCGGTACTCAACAAGCTTGTGCCTCAGTCTGCAGCAAATTTCAGCTTTTAACTACTCTTAAGGAGTAGAAAATGTACCTGCAGGCTGTTCTGTATGTTGTGGAAACACCATGTTTCCACATTCCAGATGGAACCGAATAAAACTGTCTAAGATTAAAAAGGTACTTCTACAGTCAAACTGGCCAAAAATTAGTGTCAGGTTTGCTCGAAAGGTTATTTTGATGCAGTTTGTGTAAGACATTAGGTCATATGATGCCAACACTTACAAATCTGTTTCAACCTCGGATTTCTCTGGAATAGAGTTGCGGAATTTGTATACATAGTCCGCAACATGTCTCAGACGGACTACTCTACATTTTCAAATAATAATAAGTCAGTTGTTATTCGCACAACTATGAGGTCGATTCAGATCCTCACGAATTGCCACATTATCACCTCAGTTACAAACTTCTCTTCAAAGTTTCACATCGTCAGAGAGAAGCAATAAATCAACAATGCTTACTGAGGAAGGTCATTCATATAAATTGAGGAAAGAAGATATCCTAGTACTGAACCGTGAGGGAGCCCACTACTCTGATCTCAAAAAGTCGATTATTTCGATATGAAGTAAGCCAAATATTTAACCGTGACTAGATACCTAATAGTTTACGTTTATTCATGATACGTCTATTATTGATTCCGTCAGATGGTTTTGAGTTATCAATGTTTATGATATCAATCTTTCCACCTTGCGATCAAGGATGGTTGTCCATTTATTCATCACGATCAGCAGGTTGAATATACAAGGGTTACCCTTGCTAGAACCGTACTTTTGAGTTAAAAGGCTTATGGGTAGTAAGTAGTTACGTATGTAACAAACTGTTATTTGAGAGTAAATAATTATTATGTCATCGCATATGTAGGACTGCATAATTTTCAGAGTATGGAGAGTTTTACCTGACAGTAGCTTGAAGGTTCTCTGTATGAGCTCGGACAGCTTTCACCAAGCAGCTTTACCGAGATCGAAGACACTTCCCATAGTATGGTAGAATGAACTAAACTTGGGCCAGGAGAAGTGTACTTGTCTAGGTGGTGCAGTCTCTGATACATCAAATCAGCTCTCAGGTTCACTTCCGAGAGTTCTGTTGAGTAGCAGGTGAACATCTCGTCGATAGAGTTAGTATAAGATGGTTGAATTGTTTAAAAATACTGTTCTGCCAGACGGTCAGAGATGTCACCGTCGTTGTTGGTTGAGCCATTGGGACTTCGCAATTGCGAAACTCCGGTTTTCCTGTGTTGAAGAGAGGCTGTATGATGGAATAAGTTTTTCAACGTTGAGATAAGTTTATCGATATGCATCATCTAATACCGAAGATTGTCTTCCCTTATCATCTTTGTGCATAGGTTCCTGTTTGTTTGAACCGCTGATATGTGCTAATGTATGATGATCAGAAGTATTTGAATTGTAGTATAAACTAATAATCCCAGGAATAACTCAATGTAATCAAGAAGTATTAGATGAGCCCGAACGAATGTATTGTATTTGAAATTCAAAATTACAACAGTCATCAATACAAAGAAGTCATTGGTTCATTCAAACATCACATAATGTCACTGGTCCGTTCCTATTTTGTATTTTTAATCTTTTGAATAAAGTAATGCGACCCTTGATGGCTGCAGGTTTTGGATGTGGATAATCCCTGAGCCGTTTATGTTGCAGCATAAATTATCTAAACGATCTTTGTATCCGCTAAGCAAATGCAGAGGACGTGATTAACAAGCGATTTGAGTTCCATGTACAGACCGACTCAACCGTGCCGAATGCAACCTCTATCTTAGAAACGTGACTGATCCAGTCAGTGGACAATAGAGAACATCATTTTGAAAACTGTAAACTGGTAGGCTTTGACATAATGCGGAAGTGTAAAGAGGAAGCAGTGGATTTATTCATAAAAAATTACATCCTTTACTGTTATCGTCAATATATTCCATGAATTCGGAATGTACAAATGAGTTAACTGGGCTAGAAGTGCAAGGGACAAGAGTGGTTGATTCGTCCAGCTTACCTTAGTCCAAACCGAGAAGTAATTGATGTCTTGCTAGAAAAATGTAAATGCTGGTCTTCTAGTTGTCAGTGTGGAATTTTGTAGAGAGCGGGACATATTGTAGTAAACCACAAATATCTAAGGACAGATTTATCGAAAAAATTTTCAGAATAGAATAGAATCGATAAGGTTTTGCTTATGCTGTTGTAAAATAACACCAAAAGGCAACGTGATACTACCCAGACTCCAAGTCATTAATATTAGACCTTATATTTACCCACTATAAGAACGAAGCTAAAGAGATCTTCGGTTTTATGCCACCCCTAGATAAGAGTGATCATGCGGTTCAAGTTTGGGATCTTTATTTATTTTATTTATTTAAACACATAAATAATGGTACAAGGAAGTACCAGATAAATATGCGACTCACAAATCTCATTCGATTTGTGAGGGCTGTGATACTGCCCGGGTGCCCAGACTGAAGCAGGTGGTTTACTTAGGGGGCCACACCCGGAGCCTTTGACCTGAATATCTGATCCACAAGGCAGTGGAGCATCGTGAGGAGATGCAGTCCCATGGTAGCCGGTGACTAATGACAGGTTCATCCGCCATTCGTTCCATCAGAATACTGGAGTCCATGTGCACCATTGGTTTGGAATCAGGATTTTCCAACTCCCCTAGGTGAACCCTCCGTATCCACCAACCCAGTTAAAGCGCCGGACATTCGCTTTTCGTCCTCTCTTTTTCGTGAACAACACCCCCACCACGAGAAGGCAGTGAGTAGGACTTCACTGACAGAGGCTATATACGCGTGGCCATGTGAGAGCATTTCGAGAGAGATAGTGGACACTACCCACCCTCGGGCGTACCAGGGCATTAGGGGGCTAAATTTGTGTATACGTATATTGATTCAGTTTTTCTTAATCAAAGAAATTAGTAATTATTATAACAATTTCACTCATTTATTTCAGATATTGTGTCAATTCTTTTTTTATCAATTGCATCACAGATGTATTCTTAAGCTACTCTGCCACTATATAAATCGTAGAGATACCTTTCCATCAAAAATGGCCTCTTCTTCCATACTCTGGATATTATGATCACTCAAGAATTAAATATCTTTGGACTATAAAAAAGCTCAAAGTGAAGAAAGTAGCGCACATAGAGATTCCTATGGCTATCCCTCCTCCAATGATTGAGGAAATCACCACGGCAATCAAACAACTGACAAGAGAGGTAGGACTTGACAACATACCAGATGAAGCCCTGAAGTCAGACATAAAAGTAACTGCAAACATGCTCCACGTCCTATTCAGGAGGAACAAGTGCTGAAATACAAAATAGAGAGCACGAATCCAATCATATTTAATGGGGGGGACTATGAAAGAGGTGGAAACGCTCATGCACATTGGCAGAAC